ACATATGGTGCACACTATAGCGATCCGTGATTGTGTGTTGTGGTTTATACCTTGTTTCCACCATTTGCTTCCTTATATTTGAGCTTTGGGATGTGTTGAGTAAGTTTGGGACAGGTTGGTAGTGAGTTGGTGCAAGTAGTTGCTGCCCAGATTTTTGTCTCTTCGCTCGTGCGAGGCTTCTTGCGCTCGAGTGAGCCCTCGGTATTTGTCTCTTCGCTTGAGCGAGATTTCTTGCGCTCGAGCGTGTGTCTGTGTCTCTTTTAGACCTGAAGAGTGGCATTCTTCGCTCGAGCAAGATTTCTCACGCTCGAGCGAGCTTTGTATTCCTTCGCTCGAGCGAGAGTTCTTGCGCTCGAGCGTGCGTTTGCGTTGGTGGGTTGTAAACCTGAAGTCTTGCTTTGTTCGCTCGAGCGAAGATTCTTGCGCTCGAGCGAGGTTCGTTCGTTGTGTCTGGTCGCTCGAGCGACGACTCATTCGCTCGCGCGAGCTTCGCATATATCAGATTTCAGCAGCGGGAATTTTATCATTTTTTTCATTATATTCTTCCCCCAAAACCCTAGATCCGACTCTCTCTCACTCTCTCTCACCCCTTCTCTCTACAAATTCTCCATTTCTAAGGTGTTTCTATCCTTTTTCCTTTGCTAAAAAGCTAGAGTTTGGGGTGGGCTCTCTTTCGATCCAAGAAAATACAAGTTTGGAGCACCTTGGGGTTTTTCTCATATTCTTCTTTGAGTTTCTGCTTTGAGGTAGGGAATTCTTGAGTTATATATATATATATATGTTTTGTATTGTTGTTGTTGATTTAAAAGTTCCTTGAAGGATTAATGTTGATTTTGATTTTTGTGATCTAAAATGTAGAGTTTCCAAAATGGGTTTAATCTCAAATCATTTTATTAAATTCCTAGTGGGCTTGTTTAGTCATTCAACTCAAGAGGATGATTTAATGGGATTTCTTTATGTGGATGGGAAATGCTTGGTTTTTGGTGAAAACCCTAGAAATTTAGAGATTTTTGGGGAACATGGAAATGTTCATAAAACTCCTTTCTTTCTTTGAATAGAAGATGAATGGGTGTAAATTCCATAATGTGTTTTGCAAGAATGGTAATCTTTTAAATATATTGAGATAGAGAAATTGTTTTGAAAACTTCATGTGTAGTCCTTGATGAGACCATGTTGCTATGACTTGTGAAATGAGGAAATTGATGATATATAGTTGACTTGAGAAGGAATGTTATGAACCATGGAAACTTTTGCATTGCATATCATTTCATTTATTATTGTGCGTTGTGGTTCTAAATCGAAGAGATTTATATTCGTGAAAGAAATGGTATTGTAATGAGAACTATGGAAGTATGTAAGGGGTAAATACGGTGGTAAGTCCAGTTAGGGGGTTTAGATGAATTTTGTTAAGTAGGCCTGAGTGTCCATGGTGAAAGACCAGAAAACCGCGCGGATAGGTGTCGGGCCTTCCGGTTAATACCGGTAAAAATGACAGTTCGGTAGTGCTCGTAGAGTCTACTTGTAGACACCAGCCTAGGGATTACCAGTGTCGTATTTACCACCCCTTTGTCTAAAATTGAAAGTTTTGAAATGTGTTGAGATTGCAAGCTTTTATTGAGAAATGGAAATCTTTGAGAAGAACATGGAAATGAAATTTCTTTAAAAGAGCATTGCATGGCATTGGCATTACATTTACATTGGGAGTTGCATAACTATATATACTTTGTGAGAATTCTCTACTGGGCTTTATGCTCACCCCTATGGGATTTGGTGCAGGTAAAGATGTGGTGATTCCGCCAAACTGAGGGTGTGGATATTTTGTGAAGAGTAAATAGCTCTTTTGGTTGTGTTGTAAACTTACAAAGCCAAGGGCTAATGTGTATGGGTCCGAGAGACCATTTTGGTGTAACAAGGCTATTGCCTTGGAATTTGTAAGCCCTTAAGGGCATTTTGTTGCTTTGAGAATAGATGCATCACATGCTATAGATTCATGTGTTTTCTTATCATTGAATGTATATCCGCACGTGGAACTTTTGTAAAGACTCATTTATTAATTATGCAAAGATGGAAGAATTGTTGTAATTGATGCGGGATTGCTAATTAGTGTGGGTAGCTCATGTTGAATTGTTTCAAGGCGTTACACATACCTTTAAGGGTGTGCACCATAGTGTTTCCCTTTTAATTTACATTGCTTCATCTTTTAGTTTTTACTAGCTAAAGGGTTTTTTTCTTAGTTTATTCTCTATATTTGAGTAAGTTCAATGTTTCTTTTTGTTTTTTTTTTCCTGCATTCACTGTCTATTAGAGTTTCATGATGTTGAGGTGTCTCGTGAGGTTTAAACCAGTGATATAGCAAAATAAGAGCTTTAGAATTCCCTTCTGATCTAGAAATGATTAGTTGGAAGTGATATTAAGAACTCTCTTAGGACATTTATGAACAATACCTTTTCGCACGGGGGCATTTGTAGGTACTTTCACTGTAGATAATTAAACCATTGGTAATTTGCTTTCCATGTTCACTTGCGTTTAGAATCAAGTAAAGAATCACATTTTTCACTTTTATGTCATTCAATTCTATAAACTCTCCACAAATTTAAGATCCAAACACAGTAGTAAGAGTTTGATCTCTGCAAGTTTACTCTCTTCATATTGTTCTATTATGCATATTTAAGTAATGTTGCTTACTTTCCAAAATTTATTTGTTGTCTAGTGTAGGTTTTAATTGTTGATCTTTTATGTGTTAATGATTGGTGATTGCTAAAAGTAATGAAAATTGGTCACATTTTATGTTTGTAGCAAACTATTTTATTACCTTAATGAATGTGCTTGGATTTCTTTTCTATATTCCTCTCTCAAAATCTTTTTTTTGTTTTTTTTCAAGGAACCTTGAAAAGCTATCTAAGCACTAAGCTAGGTTGATTTCCTTCCCTCCTTTGGATACACATTATTGTACAAGTTGACAAATCTTTTTTATGTTGCTTTAGTTCTTCATTCAGTTTCGGCAAAATATTTCTTCACACAAATAACTTTTTTTTTTGATTAGTAACAAATATTGTTTATTATAATATAGTTCAAAATTATATTTTTCAACTTCATACTTGATATTTCATCAGAGTTTGAAATGTGTGCTTAGAGAGGAGACAAAAGTGAAGCAAGGAATTCTCACGAAGTCAACTCTGAAAGGAAAGCTTGTGAGAGGAAAGGAAAAGTTGGCTTTTATGCCAACAATTCTTAGAAGAGAGGGAAAGACTATCAGTGTTTGGCTCAACCCATATGCATCATTTGGTGAAAGCATTCTGGCCTAGTTGCCTACTTGAAATGGTTTTTCAACCTCACTTTCCCTCCTTCAAAACAATGCTCCTCACCAAATTTCCTTCCTTGGGTTGGGGCAATACAACAATGAATAGTCATTTTAGGATGCCACCCTCTCAAGTGTGGGATGCTAGTTGAGATGGAGTTGAGAGCCAATCTATACTTTCCTTGGGGCTTACCTTGCTTTATCATCTACATCAGAAAAGGAACCAACTAGCCTCTCTAGCTTTCTAAATAAGCACAATATAATATGATGGTCATTTGTTGCTCTATAGGATCACATGACAACACTGTTGTAATCTAATTATTATTTTTTGTTTTTATTGATTTATTCTCATTAAATTTTTTAATAAGAATAGAAGAAGTGGTATTGTTAATGTCATTACTGAAGCAAAGTTTTATTGATGCTTCTCTTTCAAAATTCTATATATGTTAAGATTGTCGATATGGTCGTGCTAACAAAATTATTGCAAATTTGGCAATTGAAAGTCGTTTGATTTCTAAAAGTATATTCAAAATTAGTGACCATGGGGTGGAAAGAAGTCTCAAAGAGACAACATGTTTGAATACATTTACCATATTTAACAACATTTTTTTTTCTTCAGTTCTTCAAGCTAACTACTTACGCATACTACAACCATATATAAGGGTTGCAAAAAAATACAAAGCATACAAAATAAGCAATCCAAGTACTACGTAATCACTACCAACTAAAGATGCATTTGACTAATGTTTTGAATGTTGCAATTGGCTAGATACCAAAGTCCCAACTTTTCTTCTTTCAACTCCTTCTACAATTTGCTAGATACCAAAGTTTAACTTTTTTGAGTGTTGCGAGAACATCTTTCATGTTGATCCTCTCCTCGGATGATTCTGTAGAGCAACTCAAAGCCAATTCCATGATGGATGATACACATTGCAGTACAACTGCAGTGAGGTGTTCTTCCTCTGGCTTAAGCAAGTTAGCATCTATAACATGAGAAATTGCATTTGGTAGTGACTCCAACGTTTCATCGTCATGTCTTCAAAAAACATTTCATCAGTGGGCTTTACTCTTGTGAATGTTTCCATAAGCAAGATTCCATAACTATAAACATCACAACTTGTGGATACTAATCCTTCCAGTCCAAACTCTACATACAATCAAAAGAAATATCATGTTGTCAAGAAAATTATAGAATTTTGGTGGTGGCAAGTTGGTATGTGTCGGTGGTTGGATTCGTGGTGTGCTAAAGGGTGGCAGTGTTGGAGGGGTATGCAATGGTGGTAAGTGTTGGATGGGTGAGTTGTTTTGGGAAAGAAGGGTATGTAGTGGTGGTCTTGTGGAAAAACATGGTAATTTTGTTATTTGGTATTATTGTTAAATTTGACAAATAAAAAATATAATGTGTAAAGGAAAAAAAGTAATTTACTTATTAAAGTTAACATTGTTAATTTTTCTATTATTGAAAGGGAGGTCGATGTAATTATGTTGAAATTGCAAAATTTATTGTATTTTTAGCATTATTCAATGGAGATCGGTGTAATTTACCATTTATTAGCTCGTCGTCAACAAAATCATAAAAATTTCTATGAAAATTATATTTAAAATTTTGTGCTATATATGAAAAGTGCATGTCTATATAAATTGGAAACATATATAAAAAGACACAAAAATGTGAAAATATAAATTAAAATTTAGAAGTCACCTGGTGCAATATACCCAAATGTTGCTATGGTATTTGTATGTGTGACACTCTCCCCCAAATCTAATAACTTCGCAATGCCAAAATCACTCACATGTGCAACCATATCATCATCTAGCAGGATGTTGCTGGGTTTCAAATCACAGTGAACCAAAGGCATTGAATAATCATGGTGAAGATACTCCAAAGCACATGCAACATCTATCATTATGTCTAATCTCTGCAACATATCTAAGAAATAGTTGTAAGAATACAACCACTTTTCAAGACTCCCATTAGGCATATACTCAAGTACTAGAGCTTTGAAATCAAGGTTCGAGCAACTGCTAATGACCTTAGTGAGATTGCGATGACGAATGTGTCGCATTGTCCCGCATTCTACGTCAAAACTCTTGAATGCACCTTCTACTTGCAAGTTGAATACCTTTATAGCCAAAACTGTGGTATCTTCAAGGATAGCTTTGTAGACAGAACCAAAACTCCCCATACCAAGCAAGTTGCTCTCACTAAACCGTTAGTTGCTCGAAAAAGCTGTGGGTATGTGATTCTTGGAGGTGTTATTGTTGGTAAGAGATCAACATTGGATGGAGTTTTATTTCTTCTTCGATATTTTATGAACAAGAACATAAAGGTTGTAGCAAGCAGTATGGATGCAATAGGTAACAAAATATATAAAGCTAGAGCCACTCTTTCTTCCCTCAGATGATAAAAGGAACAAGTATGGCATGGCGGGACTTGAAAATTTGGTGAACCGCATAATGCTTCATTCGACATGAAAGATTGAATGGTGAAGTTTGCAAAAGGTCCCCCATTTGGAATTTGTCCTCTTAACTTATTGAAAGAAATGTTGAGATATGAAAGATGAGACAGTGTCTCTAAGGACTTGGGGATCACATCGGAGAGGTCATTATAGGATAGATCTAAGAATTCCAAGCTCACCATACTGCCAAATGAGTCAGGTATAGATCCTTGTAACTTGTTGTGAGCCAATGAAAGAGTAACCAAGTTTTGCAAACCTATAATTGTACTTGGGATTTTACCTGTGAATTGGTTCATTGAAAAATCTATTAGTGTTGCAACTTTGAAACTCCCAAGTTGTGGTGGTAGATTGCCATTTAAAGAATTCGAGGACAGGTTAATTTCCAAGATATCTTTAAGATTGCCCAACCTTGTAGGTATGGCGAACGTTAGTTTGTTTGAATTGAGGTAGAGATATCTTAAAGATGTAATATTCCCTAAGCATTCATGAATCAATCCAAAAAGTTCATTTTGGTTCAATCGTAGATCACCCATGTTCTTGAGTTGGCATACATCATTTGGAATGGACCCTTGAAGTCTATTTTTGGAAAGATCCAATATTCGAAGCTTTCCTAACAATTTAATTGTAGAGGGAATGAATCCGATCAAACCATTTTGTGGCAAAGTCAAGATTACCAAATTGCTTATATTACCAATTTCACTAGGAATGTTGCCTTTGATTCCACAAGAATTTGCGTCAAATTTCTCAAGGGAAGCAGAGAGTTTTCCAAAGTTGTCGAAAGAATGCCATCCAGAGGATTACGAGTTATCGACAATACTTTTAAATCTTTGCAATTTACCAAGGAAGTGAGGAAGCTCAATTTTGGAGAGGAAGAAGATGACCCACTCGTCAAATAGAAGATGACCCACTCGTCAAATTGTTTCCTTGCAAGTTGCGTGATTGGAGTAGTCGTAAATTACCAAGCAATTTCGGAATTGAACCCGTAAATGCATTGTTACCAAGGTCTAAAGAAGTGAGTTTAGAAGCATTTGAAATTGACTCGGGAATAATTCCAATGAGGTTATTTCCTCCAAGATAGAGCACATTAAGATTGGGTAGCCAAAGCCCTATACTTGATAGAAGATTGCCTGACAAGTTATTTCTCGTAAGCGACATACCTTGAAGTGATGAGATATTAAAAATTGATGTTGGAACGGCACCCATTACGTTGTTAATAGCAAGTCTTAGCTCTCACATTTGGAAGCTCACCAATCTCTTTTGGTAGAAACTTGAAGAAAAAAAAAAAAAATCGATGGAAACCAATTTTTTAACCCAAAAAAAGAAAAAGAAAAAGAAAAAAGAATCTTCGATAAGAAAAAATATTAATTAAGGCATTCACCTTGGTAACTAACAAAATATTCTAACTTGCACAATTGACATCATCTTTTTTGTTTCTTTTGATGGAGTTATACCTACTGCTAATGGTTGCATTCACATAACTCTTCTTTTACATTTTAGGAGTACCCATTAGTATTTTCCATGTACTATATGGCCAATTTAGAAGACCATATGTAGATGAGAAACCTTTTGATTCCTAATTAACAATTCAAGATGCCTAAATATTATGGAAGGAACATGTAATTCAATGTTCAATTCTGTAACATATAAATATGATAAGAAGTTATAAACGGTGCAAGATGAAAAATAAGGATAAATTACACTAATATTTCCTTATGCTTAAAGAAAATATAGCAAATTCATAGTTTTGGCATAATTACACCGAATTCTTTTTTAACAAAATTAAATAGATCAAAACTAATGCAAATGATCTAAAGATACAAGAATAATCAAGGAAAAATAAATATTTCTGTATAAAAGAGATGACAATATGTCTAAATAATTACTAATGAAAAAGGGATTAATTGTTATATAATCCTAAAGGGACCAGTTATAGGGTTTATTTTATTTTTTCAAATCTTAGATGAGGTCAGTGTAATTTATCCAAAAAAAATTCCACTCGTCTAATATATCCCAAAAGAAGAAGAAGAAGAAGAAGAAGAAGAAAAGAACAATAAAAAAGAAGAAGAAGAAGCTCTACTCAAAATGTATCCTATTCAGTTTCAATTTTACAATTCATTTTTTTTTTGAAAAAATAGGAACTAGTTTGACAAAAATAAACTGCAAATATATATTTTTGAATATCTAAAAATTATTTTTGCCTTAAAAAAAATTTAAAACTATAGGAACTGATGAGTGTTTTGTATTTATTATGATTTTTTCACTAAATTAGTTTTAGGTTTTTTGAAAAATTTAGATTTTTTTTTAAAAAAAATCAATCTATATAGAGTTGAATCTTCACTTCAATTGGAACAAGTGTAATACCTATGTTATGCACGAAAATAAATAAATAATAAAAAAATAATTTTAAAAATTAAATAATAACATAAAATTTGTTTAAAATATATAGAAAAAATAATTTCTAATTGACGAAATTTTAACTATCTTCATTCAAGTTACGCCTAAGAGTAGTTAAAAAAAATTAAGAAATTTTATTATTGTCTTGAAGCTCATATAGTCTTTCAGATAAAAGTGATTTTTACTTAATATATAATACAGATTAGGAGAATTAAGATTTAGCTAGTCGTAGAGTGAGAAAATAGTTGATCATCATAAATAAATATATTACGGAGGGAAAAAGACTTAAACTGACATGGAATAAGAATAGTAAACAAATATATGAATTTGTTTAAATCATTTGAGTATATAACTTTTGATAGAGCATAATGAAGAAAAAAAATTTCACATAGCCGATCTCAATTGATTGGGACACAAGACTTAGGTCTTGCTTGGCATATTTTAAAAAAACACATGTTATTTTAACGCATTATTTTATTTGGGTCACATCACCTCTTATTTGAGTTACATCACTTCAACTCCAATTCACATTTTACATTTTTTTTGGGTAAAAAGTAAAAAAAATACTAATCTAGCACTTTCCAAACAACCTCTTAGTTCGATTTATTCATAATTATAATGCTATTATATTTCTATGTTTAAAGAAAAATGATATGTAGATTCAAATTTTAGACTTACTTTGATGATGGGATTGCGTTGTTTATTTTATTTTCCTCTATCATATTTTGGATTATTTTTGCTCTCTTATGTTGGTTTGGAGATGGTACGAGAGATGAGACTTGTATTATGAATGGTGGACTTATGCTATGGATGGATGGAAAATACTATGGTACACATATGTAAGTTATAATATTTGTAAGTTTTACAAATGATATAATTCAATACTATGGAAGTTGTAACTAAAAAAATAAATAAATTATAACTGAATATCACATATAACTATACAACTCTGGGATCATAATTAAAATTTTGTTATAACTAATATCACAATGTGTTATAACTAACAACACAGTAAATTATAACCACTGACTCAAAAATTGTAACTAAAGGTGTATATCATGCACACCTAAAAGAGGTGTGCACCATAAAATTTCCCTGGAGGACTTAGGTTAGATAATTATCTGCCTTGCCCAAATGAGTTGGTAATCAATGCATATAAGTTTGCAGGGAAATCCTATGGGACACACCTTATTACAACTTAGTATAATTTTATCATTAAATTTATAACACCAATCATAAAATGCATAATCTCATCACAAAATTTTGTACATTTTGTTATGCTAATTTGTGTTGAGATTACATATTTTGTGATTAATGTTATGAAATTTTGCAGTAAAGTTATACCATTTGTGATAAGATGCTTTTGGTACACACCTTACACTAGGGGTGTGCGCGGTGCGGGTCGGTGCGGTTTGAGAGAAAAATAGAAACCGTATGGCGGGTGGCGGATTGATAAAAGTGTCACTAGAATTTGCCATTTTCCTTATCAAAAACCAGCGGTTCGGTTGGCAAATAATGGCGGATTTGCCTTGGCGGTTCGGGCGGATTGGCGGTTTATAAAAAATATAATTCAAATTACAAAACTTAAATCAAAGAGTAAAAAAAAAATGAGAGATACCGTGATGTTAAGCATCTTGCAAAACTTTCTTCTGATGCAGCAAGTGTAGCAACAACATGATAATATCAACGACTATGCCATCAGTTCATTACAAGTATCTGTGGAAGCTGCAATGATCAAATACAATACATAAAATTCCCCTCGAGCATTAATGTAATACTATATTCTAAGGTATAGAACAACAAGCAAACTTAAGTAAAAAAGAATTTTTAGAATCCTATAAAACATGATTTAATAGCGGTGCGGGTCGGTGCGGTTTGGAAGAAAAATAGAAACCGGCGGATTGATAAAAGTGTAACTAGAATTTGCCATTTTTCTTACCAAAAACCGGCGGTTCGATTGGCAAATAATAACGAATTTGCCTTGGCGGTGCGGTTCGGTGCGGTTTTGGCGGTTTCGGCGGTGTTATGCACACCCCTACCTTACACCATAGGATTTCCCAAGTTTGCAAGGCATAGATGTAGCTTGGAAATTATATGATTTATTGCTATAACAACCCAACTTGTTCGGGCGGAGTGAGAGGTTGTTCAAGCCCGAGCTCAAGTTGTGTTAAGAGCTGTCTAAGTCTGGAGTGTAACCCGAGATTGTCTTTCCAAGTCCAATCCAAATTAAACTTGAATTGTTCAAATTGCACATAAATTTTAGTTGTTTTTTTCCCCCCCCTTTTTTTAGTGCAGCTAAGTTATTTAATTTGTCAAAATTAGACTCTAATTACATTTGTTTTATAAAATCATTAATAATATCAAAACAAATAAGTTATTATATAATGTAAGAAAGATGCTGCTATAGTGATTTTTACAATTTATGAGTGATAAAGTATTTATTTTTGTGTTGTGTTATTTGTTTGTATAATATATATTCAATATGATCTAAGGATCTAAATTATTTTAATATCATCCAACGAATAATAATTTTTATATATTTATATATATATATATATATATAATTTGTGCTTTGGGTTGGTCGAGTTGTTTGATGTCTTTGTTCAAACTCGTCTAAATTTAATTTGGGCTTTTGAATTTTTGCCCAAACCCGTACCGAATTCAAAAATATTTTTTTTAAGTCCTAAAAAAGTTCAAGTTGAGCTCAAGTTGTTCGGATTGAGCCCGCCCAAGTTACACTACTAAACTTAATTCTTTTAATTTGAAGAAATTAAAAAAGTTTTTGAGGACATTAGGGTTGTGTTTGAATTATGAATCGAGATAAGGATTTGAAAAATAAAAAATGAAAAGATGAAGACAACATGAATGAAGTATAAGTTAAATATTTTTTTCTATTTTTTTTAAATTTTCTTTATCTAAATTTATGATTCCAGATACAACGTACAAAAAAAAGGCAAGTAGTGTGCCCATTCCCTACCCAAAGTCAGCAACTAAAGTTTGAGAGATGGATGGGTTACCTGTCAAGTTGTTCTCGTTAATATTAAAATATTGAGAGCAAGGTACACTTGCCGATTGCTCTTGGCAGACTACCAAATAAATTATTGGTATGTAGCGCAAGCAATTCCAATGAAGAGATGTTAAAAATAAAAGATGGTATGAGACCAGTGACGTTGGCAGATTCGATACCTAAACTCTCCAAACTATGTAGACCACCTAGTTCTTGTGGAATTTCGCCTGCAAAATAATAAGTAATTTACGAATTGTACCTAGCTACCAAGAGTGTTGTGTAGTATCAACATACACACATTAAAATAAAGCTGCTTTTCAAATGGGTAGGCAAACATGTAGGTTGCATTTTCGGATAGGCAAATGATGTATGTATCAAATTTTAGTAATTCTTTTTTAATACTATTTTTGAATCTTGAATTTGTTAAAATAAAGAAAAACAATTACTTACACTTCTTCAATTTTTATGGATAGCCAAACCCGCCCAAAAAAATCTATTTTCTTTTTATTTTTCTAAGGCAACGAAATGGTAGAAAGAAATTTAATTATATTGAATTGATGCCACATAAAATTTTAGAGTTCACTGTTTAGATAGTATAGACAAGTTTGCTTAATTTGGAACAATTCAACTTATGTTTGTTTGTGAAAATAGTTTGAATTTGCCTCCTCAAGTGGGCTTAAAGTGTACGGATTTGCCACCAAACATAGTAGGCTTAAAACGTGATTTGCCACTCAACAAAGCGGGCTTAAAACATATTTTTGTTAAATCGTTCCAATTCAAACAACAAGCCTTCATCTACAGGCATTTATGCAGTTTAGCATTTAAGCACATAGCATCATGGCAAGCATGCTAAATATGACAACATTCACACTCATGCAAGTATGTTAAAGCATAAAAACTCACCTAGTACTCCCAGGGCTGGCCCTGAGATTTGTGGGGCCTAAGGCGAGCTATGAAAATGGGACCCCTTTAATATATTTTTTTTAATAAAAAATTTATGATTAAAATGATAAGTATTCACAATTTTTTTATTTAAGTATACTTGCAGATATAATCATTAAAATTATAAACTAAAATTTACTTTCATATATTAAGTGAACAATGTTGTATATTGTATTTATGATTTGGGTTGGGCCCAAACACTTTATTTGTTTTTTTTTTTTGTTTTTTATATATTTTTATTTTAATAAATATGGGCCAAACCACATAAATATGGACTAAACCAAACATGGGCCCAATAAAACATTTTGGGGCCCTTTAAATTGATCCTAAAAAAAAAAAAATACAAGGTTGGGCCTATAACAATTTATTAAATTTGGAGACCCTTTTTTTGAGCCAAAATTGTGGGGCCTAAGGCACAAGCCTGATTGGCCTTAGGCTAGGGCCGGCACTGTATAGTAGGTATTATTTGGAGTGTCTAAACAAATTAATAAATATTTAAATTTTAAATTGGGGTATTCCAAGTAATGGGGTGCCCAACCTAATTTTTGGGGGCTTAGAATTATCCTTTTTTAGATATGCATTGTGAAAGAAATAGTTATTGAAGCAACACTTAGATACTTGCAATGAAGAAGAGGTTGGTGGTTCAACATATAAACGTTTTGAATTATTAACTAATTCTTAGCACATAATAAGCATTTTGGGAGACGTATTTCATGAAGGGAAAAAATAAAAATCTAACAAGTCTTTTTTTATTTATTTATTTTATAATTCAAAGTTTTAAATTATTAAGTAGATCTCATAATATAATCGATTAAATTATTGTTTTAAGCATTTTATTAGTTAATAAAACATACTAATTAAAAAGCTGACAAAGCATTTGAATTTTAAAATTAACAAATGAAGTGATATGTGCTGGAAAATGAGTGAGAGCACTAATTAGTGCTATCACTAATGATGTGGCAGTGGGTCCCACCAGGGATGATTTGATGTTTTGGCCTTGGTGTTGTATTTTTTTTCTTTTTTTATTGAGTGCCATGTCATTAGTGGTCTTTTTAGAGCTCCAAAATTAGTGGTCTCTATCATTGTTGGATATGTGCTAGTTATATTAATAAAATTAACTTGGTAATATTAACTAGCATAAGGGATAATAAAAAGTCAAAACTTTTTTTTATAAATATTCAAATGTGAACAAACTAAATAACATTAACAAGTGAGAATGAATCATACCTTTAAAGTTGTTACCACCCAGATATAAAATCTGAAGTAAAGTCAAATTCCCAATTGCCTTTGGAATGAAACCAGTGAATTTATTGTAAGACAATGATAAGAATTTGAGCTCTCTGCATTCACCTAAAGTTGATGGAATTTGGCCATCAAACTCATTCTTGGAAAGAGAAAGAATTTCAAGTTTAGGAAGAAAAACACACAAATCCTTCGGAAGACTACCAGACATCATATTATATGTGAAATCAATCCATTGAAGTGATGACATGTTGAAGATGGTTGGCGGTATAGACCCCGACAAATTCTTACATCGCATGTGTAACCACTTCAGTTTAGGAAGATAACTGATCTCTTCGGGAACTCTTCCCTCCAAAAAATTGGACATTAAATTGAGAGACTCTAATGTTGATATGTTGCCAATGGAAGGTGGAACTGAACCAGTGAAACTGTTGTTTGCGAGATGCAAGTATTGAAGCTTGGGTAAGTTTCCAAACCATGACGGAACACCTCCACCGAAATTGTTGACACCAAAGTCGACAACATTTAGGCGGTGCAATCGAGCCAACTCACTGGGAAGATGACCATGGAAAGTGTTGCTGGTGATGTTGAAGTAGGATAGAGATGAGAGGTTTCCAATGTGGGGTGCGATGGTGCCTCCAATACCCATGTTTGGGAGATTCAAGGCCACCACTCTGTAGTGGTGCTTGCCGCAAGAGACACCAATCCAGTCACAAACTGAGATGGCTGAGGACCAGTTAGTTGCCAATACGTGGTGAGGATGGTCAAAAGTGATATAGAATTTGAAAGCTAAAAGAGCAGATTGATCAGTAGTGGAGTTGGGAACATTCATAGCCAGGCAGGCTAAGAAACAGTGTGCCAAGGACATTGCAGTTAAGCAGAGGAACCGAGTTTTCTCCATTAAGGCTTGGATGTTTGATATGGAATAATAATATGGGAAACAAGAGAGAACCGCCTTTAAATGATGAACTCAATCTAGTGTGTATAAATAGTAACTTTAGATGCAGGACCAAACATGGAATGAAATATGGGAAGTGGGTTCCATATCTGGGTCCTACATTCTATGAATCACATTTTTTTTATGAAATATTTATATCTCATTTTATATTTAATCTATGTATTACACTACAAGAAAAAGCACCTTTGACGACTAAATTTTTAGTCGCCAAAAGTCCATTTTTAGTCGCCAAAAGTCCATTTTTCAGTTTCCCCGACTAATTTTTTTAGTCGCTGATTTTGTCGCGAATACATGGTCGCCGGAGGTTTTGGCGACTAAAACTTTTTTAGTCGGCAAAAAACAGGTCTTTAGTGACCAAAGTTTTGGTCGCCAATAGTCAATTACACTTTTTAAAATTATACATTTAGTCGCCAATAACCTATGAATCGCCGACTATAAATTTAGTCGCCCAAAGTTTTCAATAAATGTGATTTTTTTGTTTTAGCGACTAAAATCTTTAGTCGCTAAAAACATGACTCCTTTTTAGCTTCCAATTTTTTGGTCGCTAAAATCATGGTACACCTTTTCGGCTACTAATTTTTTAGTCGCCAAAATTTTTTTTTTTTTTTTTTGCTACTAACTATTTAGTAGCCAGTAAGTGCTCTTTTTATTTTTTGGCTACTAAATGTTTAGTCGCCAAAAGCTATTTGTTAATTTTTTTAAAATGCATAAATTGAATATTTTTAATTAATTTGTAAATTATATGCGGTCCATTATCGACGCAACTTGTAACCTGTAAATATACAGAATAATATATCTATCAATTATCATCTAAATCCATTACAAATAATATTACTCATTTCATTGTCATATAAATCTTCATCAACACCAACCAAGTATAATCTATCTAAATTAAATATTACATACAAAAACAATGGATTTCCAAAACAAAGAATTGTACAAAAATAAATGTCTTCCATATATAGAACAAATGCTCTTCGTACACAAAAATAAATATCCACAATGCTTTTAGTAACTAAATTTAATCGCCAAAAGTGTAAATTGTTGGAGTGTTAATAGCATTGTTAGTGTGTAAATATTAAAAATGTTACCGCACACACCTCAAAAGCTGTGCATATTTGTAACTAAAATTTTATGAATGACTTTTGATTTGAATTTAAATACATTAATAATACAATCTTATATAAATTAATAAATAGTATAATTTTTTTTAGAAAGCCGTTAATCCTGGGCAATATTGCTGCCGTTCCATGCGGCCGCAAGTAATGCTAAAAATTCATAAAAGTAAATCACACTTAGTATCTCTATACTTTTATTAAAGTTTATTTTGATTTCTTCACTTTCAATTGCAACAATTAATTTCTTATAGTTTGAATCAAGTTCCAATTTCAATCTTTTATCCATCTACCGTCAATAAAGCTAACGGAAACTAAAAGTGATGGATTAAAATATGAGATTTTGATAAAAGTGTAAGGATTAAAGTGAGATTTTAATAAATATATAAGTGTGCTAATGAGACAACAAAAATATCATATATGCTTTAAATGACAAGTTCTGTCAACTTTGTTAACAGTAGACAGATAGAAGAATGAGATTGCAGCTAGACTTAAAGTATAGAAAATTGACTGTTATAATTGAAAGTAAAATGACAAAAGTGAGATTTTGAAAAAAGTATAGAGATACTAAGTGTAATTAACCTAAGTCAGAAATCGATCTTAGAAATTATCTAAAATTATCGTACTGTGGTTCAAATTTATTTTATACATAAACCTCACATTACAAAATTCAATATCAACCACACACTCCAATTCAGAGTAAATTGTGATTAATTAGTTTTGGATCATATAATGATAAATTAGACTACTAGTCCTTATGTTTTGCCTCTTGTGCTATTTTGATCTCTGTACTTTTAATTGGTTATATTTTGACTCTTAATTTTTTCAATTTGTGTCAATTTAATCCAATTGACAATGCCATTAGAGTTTTTTTTTTACAAACAGTGAGTTAGTTGAGGTTAAATCATTAAATTGATTAAGTTTATAATTTTACCCTTAAAAACATGACACATGTCGCTGATGTACGTATTTTTCATAAAATAATATTCACAATTGTAATTAATTGGATCAAATTAAAACAAAGTAAAAAATTCAAAGTCAAAATTGATCTAATTAAAATTGTAGAAACTAAAATGATATAAGGAACAAAGTGAACTACTAGTATAATTTGTCTTTTTTTTTTTTTTTTCTGATTAAAAAAATTGTCATTCATGGAATTACTGTATATGATTACAGTTTGGCCTCCCAACCCCATTTACATGATTTAAATGTCATATTTATATCTCCATTCAATCACTGTTCTAATTTCTCTCTCAACACTAATTCTCTCTCTCTACACTGTGAACTAAAAAAAAAAAATCTACACCCCAAATTTATGCTCTTAATGTCAAGATACGTGTGAAAATTTAATTAAAAAAATTACACTTTTTTTTAATGCTTAAAATATGCAATTTATGTTATTTTAATATATAATAATAGAATTTTAAAAATTAAAAATTTTATTATATTTGTACCATATCATTTTTTAAGTGATTTAAATTTTGTCGATATAATTGAGATGCCCCTCCACTATTTAATTAGAGGTTTTGACAAAGTCATGCTGCACACTCTGTTTGAGAAGTATATCATAAGTAAGTTATCACATTTTATAATTATTGTATCATAATTAAATTATTTTTAATCATAATTAAAAAAATAATTAATAATTAAATCTCACATAAATTAGAATCAGGGACGGATCTAGGATTTGATCATTGGGGGGCCAAAAATAAATAAATAAATAAATAAAGATGGACAGACAAGTAGGGTTGGATTTAAGGGCAATAGATTCTCATGCAATTAACACTTATGATTTTTCATGCTATTAATTGGAAATTGATAAACTTTGTTAAATATTAGATATAATAGTAATATCACTAATCAATAAGAGTTCTTACATTACGATAGTGAGAAATAATGATTGGCTTATTGAGAGATAAAAATTGTCTATCTAATTTGATTAAGGAAAATATTTGGTAACTTAAAATTTTGTGGCTCAAATGACGCAAATCTGTTAAAACGACGTCGTTTTACACTCATTTACACTTAAAACGACGTCGTTTTGAGTGATTTGAGCCATTTGAGACATAAAATTTTGAGCTATCTAATATTGTTGTTTTATTAATAATTTTTTATCGGATGAGATACTACTATTCTCATTAAGCCTTCCATGTTTTATAAAGTGAATAATATAATTACAAATATATTTTAGAACGTAATATGTTAGGGAGTTGTTATGATGTGCACGCTTCAAGTACATTCCGTATATACATTATCACAATATATGTAATATAACCGTAACAAATTGTAATTTTTTTAACCAAATAGTTCGTAACAATTTGCACCACAATGGTTGTAATATTTACACTATACCATTCATGACATAACTACAATAATTCATAACTTTCACTTTAGAGATGCCCACTATAAATTCAACTTTACCACAAAATAATACTACAAATATTTAAACTTTCATTGCAAAAATTTATACAGCATTCTTCAGATGTTAAAAAAATATTAAAAATATGATAATTAAATGGGAAGAAGGCCCACATAGGAAAGAAGTTGCAGTTGTTGAACTAATTCTATACATAACAGCCAAGCTTCTTGAACAAAACGCGCGGGGGGGGGGGGGGGGGTGGTTTGGACATGAATATTGTATCTAGAACATATAATAGACATCACAAAATGAATTGCATATTATAAAATTCCTCTACTCGAGAATCACGTTTTCTTTTCTTTCAAAAACATCAACTCAGCTTTTTGATTTTTTTTGAAAAAGTGAATCTTTTTTAATTGGATGCATGAAAAGTACATAAAATAAATGAACAATAATACATCAACTCAACCTTTGAGTGTCTTTCACAGTATGAAATGTTGATTATTGTGGGAATTCTCTACATTTTTTTCTGTGTTTCCTTTACTTTCTTTTGTTCCTTGCCCTCTTTTGGGACGAAGGCCTTAGTGGAAAAAATCAATAAAGCAGAATAAAAAAACCACAACCACTATCCCAACAAAATTACACAAATACTTCGTTGCTCCATGCGTGGGGGTTGGTTTAAACAACAAAAATATATCCGTTTTCAGGTGTTGTTTGATTTCTACTCTCAACTTTTAAAATAGTATCAATTCTATCTATCCGTAATAATTATACACTTTTGGTCAGTGGTTCTGGACGGCGACATTAGCTATGAGCTGGAAAAGGAAGAAGATGTGTGGCAATGAGTTAGGAAAGAGGATGAATAACGGTGGAAAGAGGAAAAAGGACGGAGTAATAGTACTGAATTGGGGAAGAGGATGGGTGGTGATAGATGACGGTGACAGTGAGAAATGATTGTCAACTGTAATAAGGAAAAAAAATATATTAAATTAATACAATTAAAAAGTTTGGAATTTAAATTGAAATAATTAAAAAATTAAGATTTGATTTGCTATTAGAGTCAAATCTTGAGATTTAAAAAATCAAAAAGTCTATGTCATCAGTTTTTTTTTTTGAAAAAAAAAAGCAATAAAACATTTTTTACTTATAATTTTTTTTAATAGCTTTCCAATTACATTAATTTATTTATTTATTTATATCTTTTGAAAAACCATTTAAAAAAACTAATCTTTAAAGCTCTCTCCAGTTTTTATTTTTCCATGTTTCTTGAATGTTTTTATATTTAAATTTGGACTTAACTCAAATTTGACAATTTTAAAATATTTTTTTAAAATTATGCTCTTGTCTACCAAAAAATTAGTTGAATTAGTTATTTCCTAGTTGAATAACATTTTCTTATTATAAATAACGACTTTAGAGCAATACAATTTTTCATCAATAATTTTCAAATTTCTCATGTGAGAATTTCT